CTAAATCAACAAACTTGTTTCAAACATAAAAAAAGATTAATCCAACATAAATAACTAAACCACATACTTATTCTAAACATAAGCAAAAATCAATCCAACATAAATAAAATAACTAAACAAACATCCAAATTTTGGCATGAAGAGAGGCAACCAACTCAAAACACCTTAGTCGTCTAGATGGATTCGACAGCAGCCACTAGCAATGTCTAGTAGCCCACTCCAGTAGTAGTGTGGCTCCAACAACAGCTCTAACAGCAATTAGTAGGCGGCAATGGAGGGTTTGAGATTTAGGGTATGAGATTCTTGAAGAGTGAAAGTGAGGGCAAAAAGGTGAGAACTGAAAAGGGCAGAAAGGCAACCAGTGAGGGCAGCAGTGTGCTGATGCAGAAGGGGAGGGGAAGGTCAAAGGTGACAGTGATGAGAAATGAGTAAGGTTATGGTTAAATGGTTAATGATGGATTGGATTAATTTTTATGGGTTGGGTTGGGTTGAGTAAAATTGGATTAAGTATAATTTTTATTAGATTGAGTGTGGGTTTGAAACTTTGAATGTGGAATTAAATTTAAAATAAAATTAATTTATATATATATTTTTTAATTTTTTACGAGGATGAGCATCCCCACAGGACCTTGTGAGATAGGGGAAATTCTCCACGAAATTTCGTAGGGAGAAAATGCACCCCATCCTCGTCCCATGAGAAGATATAGTCCTCCTCACCCCATTCCCGTGGTGTGAATCCTCGTGGGGTCCCATGGGGATCAAGATAAATTGTCATCTCTAATTACAAGCACACCCTTAGGCTTCTCATGGAGCTTACTTCAAAAAATTCATCTAATGAACAAATAAGCTAGGGCAAATGAACATTTATGTGATATAACAGAGGTAGTTGGGATATGTAGTAGTGATCAGTCCCACAATTATAGTTTGAAAACATCCTTAACTAACGTGTGAAAAGCAGATTTTGGCTCTTTTAAGTAACGGAGTTGGTGTAACATACTTACAAGGATCACAATGAACAATATGAATGTACAAAGATGATAAGGAACGAAAATGCAAAGTACAAGGAATAAAGCTGGCCTTATTCCTACATGCCAAAATTGTGCCCAACCAACACCCAAATCATGCCAACACATCCATCAAAAAAGCATTTCAATGCATCCCATAATTGGTATATCATTTTTACCAAAAATAAAAACATTTGGTATATCATTAGGATTCACTAACCTACGCCATGAGCGGACATCTTCCCTTGGCTGGCCGTTTGGCACTTTGCCTATTTCCTTCTTTCCAGGACGGTTTCGCGCTTTCTGTGAGTAAGAGAGGGAGTGCTTTCGTTGCAAGTTTGCAGAGCCCTCCTTCCGTACAACAAACCTCCGCTCTCACCGTAAGCTTCTCCTCCTTCAAACTTCCATTTCCGTCTTCTCTCGTGATTTTAGACGAATCCTTTGTGTTTTCTTCAACAATCGATTCTTATGAAATCGATCGATTTCATCATCAAGATGCACTCTTTTCCTGTTTTCTGCTACGGAATGTGCATTTTTCCGTAGAAATTTGATTCATTTCGTCGATTGATTGGAGGAACGAGACGATTTCTGTAGTTTTTGTTCGATTTCTTTATGCTGTTAAGTATGTGCTTAGTAGAGTTTCGGTCTTGCTCTGTAAGTTGTTCTTCTTTGATGTTTTTGCGCTGTTAGGGTTTATTAATCGATCGTCGATCACAGCTAATCATTTCATTTTGCTTCGGTATCTGTTGTATGCGGCAAAGATTTCGCCTTTCTTCGCTCTTGGTTTTTCATTTTATGAAATGCTATTGTTAGAGTTCTATATCATTTTTTTAAAATACGGATTTAGAATGTGATTTGGTGATTTGCTTATGTTTGTTAGTGTTGATGGTTTTTTTTTTTTTTTTCTCATCTTCAGGTTGTTGAAATTTTGAGGCTGTTTTTTGTATAATTTTCAGAGGATATAAATTGTAGGATATTTTTTAGTTTATTTTTAGTAATTGAATTTCATATCCTTGCAGTATCTGAAGTTGTTATATCTCTTTAATCAAAAGATGGTATTGTAGGGTGTAATCTGTTTGACACTGGTAAAACTTGATTAGTAATAATGTTTTCCTTTATGCGTACAGAGTGTTAGATAATTCTAGGAAATGAAGGCTGCTCGCTACTTGGATCTGGAATGAGGGGAGGAAATAAAATGCAGAACTTCACAGGGTCCAGAAATCTGAAAAAGAGTCAACTTGGTGGTGTCATTTTTGGTTGCACAAGCAGCACCATCAAAGAATGCTTGTCCAAACAACTGTTTGGTTTGTCATCTGTATTTCTGTCACATTTTTAGCGTTACTTCTCCTTCATTTTTCTTTTATAATTGTGTTAAAAATTTTTAAGTCTTAGAAATTTATGTGTGGATTAAGTTTTCTTGTTTTCCAAAAAGATCTTTTTTGAACACTATGGTATTGCTGGTTGTCTTAAACTCGTAGCTTTATCTCCATGGATTCTTATGGACTTTTCTTTAAATTTAACAGGCTTACCAGCTCAACACTTTTCATATGTGAAAAACATAGATGTGGGATTGCCACTTTTTCTGTTCAACTACTCTGATAGGAAACTGCACGGAATTTTTGAGGCTGCTAGCTGTGGTCAAATGAATATTGACCCGTATGGATGGACCATTGATGGTTCAGAAAGAACGCAATATCCTGCACAGGTATGCATATAAATTTCTCTTAAGTGCAAATTGTAATCCCAGCATGGCTATGATCAAGAGATGGCTTTAGTGTTGATATTTTGCATTTTTTCTAAATTTAGGTTCAGATTCATGTCCGACTACAGTGCAAACCACTGCCTGAACAGCAATTTAAACCAATAATTACTCACAATTACTACAATCATAACCATTTCTGGTTTGAGCTTGATCATGGTCAGGCTAACAAGTTGATGTCCTTGTTAGCATCCTCAGCAATTGCACCTAGTACTTCTCTACATCAAAATACAGCAACATGGAGAACAATTTTCCAAGCTCCACACTCAACTAGAAAAGAAGAGGAAGCTGAAGGTTTTAAGACACTTGCTTTGGAGGTTAAGCATTCTAACTGCTTAAGTGGGAAATTGGATTCTAGAAGTAATGGTTTTCATTTTGATAGACTAAGAGAGGGAGATGAAGTGTTTCTTCAGCCAGATTTAGATGTTGAACATTGTAATCAGTCAAATGGAAAGTCACAATCTACAGATTTTCATCCTTTTGATCCACTGGGAACCCATTTAGATGCATGGAGAAAGATACAGGACGAGGAAGTCCTTATACTGATGAAACTGAAAGAACTGGCCAGTCAAGGTGAATGTCATGACTTGTCTTTGACAAACAATGTTGAAACCTCTACACTAAAGAACAACAAAGATTTCAATGATGAGAGTTTCCTAAAGGAACAAACTGATTCTGAGCAGAAGAACAATAGGAGTTGTTGCTCTAATTGCCAATCTGTTATAGCTCAGGTATTAATTGTTTGTACCTTTATCATGTAAGCATGGATTTTTTCTGCTAGACTTGTTCTTTTGACTACTTCCCATATCACTTGTTTATTCATTGTAGTTGATTCAAGGAATGGAAGAGTTCAAGATGTTTAAAGCAGAACAATCTGCAAAGATGAATTATATGGAGCAAAAGCTGGTATAATTTTCTGCTGCAAACCATGAATGACTCCTCTTTTTTTCCTTTTTACCCTTGTTATCATCATTCATGTCATCCTCATCCTCACCATAATTAATATTTTTGTTGAGTTGGCCTCCAGCATATTCTAATTAGAGGTTCGAATTTCAACCAGAGTGAAATATTTTACAACAATGGGACAGATTTAGATGCACCTTGCATTCAAATATACCCAATTTTGTTTTATATTGTCTTCCATGCATGTAATTGAATTGTAGAATAGTGGTAGCAAAAGCAATAGGTTGAGGAACACTGGGAATACTTGAAGATTAAGGCCTGATACCATATGGAGTGCATGCAATAGAAGCAAAAGATGCTTTTAGTCTTTTACAAGGTTTGTTAAAGGAATTCCATCTAACTTTGGTCATTATCTCAGCAGGTGAAAAAATTTGCAAAAGAAGCATGTTTTTTCTTTTAGGTTGTTTTGGCCAAGGAAGGTGCATGACTATTAGTTATGCATTTATATTTCTTTCTCAAAACTCTGATGATCCATTTCATTTGATATTATGATCTTAAGCAATTGGCTATCTCAATAGAAATGTCTCTCATCTTTCTAAGATTATGCTGCACTACACCTGCAAGTTGTCAACTGTAAATGCTGCATGCTTGCATTTGAATTTTATTTATTGTCTTAATTCAATGGATGATAAATTTTAGTCTGGCATTTTAGGTGAAGGCCGTAAAGGAAATTGAGGAGTTGAAAGATCGTTGTACGATGTTAGAATCCATGTCTAGTCACTCTGTGGAACCTGTTAATGAAATGACAATAGAGTCATCTGATGAGCTGGATTTGGATCCTACGACATCAATATTTTTACTAGGAGGATATGATGGTGAATCATGTTTATCGACACTGGACTCATATTTTCCATCTCAAGATGTGATAAAATCTCTCAAGCCAATGAATTCTGTCCGTTCATATGCTTCAGTTGTGCAGTTGAATGGTGAAATCTTCATCTTTGGTGGTGGTAATGGTTCTGAGTGGTATGACACAGGTATTATTAGCTCTTGCTCAATCTGTGATTTGTTATTTCTCAGAAAAGCAGCTTATTGGTGATATAAGTATTTTCATTGGCAAGAAATCCAAATAAGAAGCATATTGCTCATATATCTGTTATCTTATATCTTAAATAAGAAGCTTTTACTCTTTTTTTTTTTCTTCTCCTCCTCCTCCTCCTCCTCCTACTCCTTCTCCTTCTCTCTCTCTCTTCTTTTTTTTTTTTTTTCTGTAAAGTTGAATCATACAGCTCAGCTAATGACCAGTGGACCCTCTGCCCTTCATTGACTGAGAAAAAGGGAAGCTTAGCTGGAGCCACTTTAGATGGGAAGATATTTGCAATGGGTGGTGGAAACGGGTTTACATGCTTTTCAGATGTTGAGATGCTCGATTTAGATGTTGGACGATGGATCCGCACAAGGTCAATGACACAAAAGGTGAATGTATTATTTAGTTAATTTCTTTTAGTGTACTGGTTATGATATCACAATATGTTATTGGTTTCACTTATTGAGAGATGGGTTGGATGTGGATTTGAACGATTTTCTTGGAAGGCTTAATGATAACTAAAATGCTTATTCCAATTTCAAGACAAGTATGTCTGGAAGTAACTGATTTCTATGTCCTTTTACAGCAGGAAAAAATTGGTACAATAGTGGTTAATAATTTGCAGTTTGGTTGATTTCTAAAGAGGGAAGAAGGAGTTTTCCTTTATTCTTTTTTGTTGATTTTTGGGATTTAATGTACTTCTATTGTGATTTCATTCAACATATTGTCATAGGCATGCATATGTGTATGCTGATTGCAGGCTTTAGCTATTGGAGATGTTCATAATTGATTAATAACTTATTATTTGGGTTTGATGTTTCAGCGTTTTGCTCTTGCTGCTGTGGAACTTAATGGTGCAATTTATGCAACTGGTGGATTTGATGGAAATGATTATTTGACGTAAGATAGTTCCATTTGGCTCTTTCTATACTGTACACGTGCAACATACACTTGCGTGTTACAAACATAAAAACATACTCATGAAAGGATGCATGTGTGCCATGCATGATGAGTTTATATATCAAGGAACCAAAACAGTTTAACTAAAAATTTCTTCTGCTCAGATCTGCTGAAAGATTTGATCCTAGGGAGTATTCATGGAGCAAAATTGCAAGCATGAGCACAAGGAGGGGCTGCCATTCACTGGTTGTTTTGAATGAAAAATTGTAAGTTATTATTTGGTTGTTGCTGCTTGCTCTTCACTTTTGTGGAAATTTAATGATATACTTTTCCAAAAGCTAAGCACAATGCTATGCCTACTTTAAATCTAAAGGTTGCAAATTTATCAATGTAAATTTATCGATGTAACATGTGTAGGAGGCTTTACCTTGAAAAGCCGTTTATTTCTCCCCTGGAGAAAGCTAATGTTCCTATTAGTTAGTTTGCTTTGAAGAATGATATCTTACCGTGTAACTGTGTTTAAGAAATGCTGCAGTTAAAATAGCATTTCCTGTCATTTCATTCCACTGGTTATTAAAGCTTAACTTAATATTCAGATGATCAAATCTAATTCCTTGGGAAACAATCTTTTGAGAGATTGGTCATCAAAATCTTGAATATGCTATTTCATTGATACTGCTTGGCTGTGATCTCTTTGTTATCCAAATGCTTGTGCATCTCACAAGTAAATGATTCCCTTGGTAGATATGCTCTTGGTGGTTTTGACGGCATTGCAATGGTTCCAAGCATTGAAGTATATGATCCACGTCTTGAATCGTGGATAGCTGGGTACCCAATGAACCAGCCAAGGGGATATTCTGCTGCTGCTGTTGTAGAAGGCTCCATACATGTCATTGGAGGGGTGAAAGATGACCAAGACATTGTAGGCACGGTACGTCCCTTTTTGCTATATTCTCGCACATGTATTAAATACCATAGGCACATCAATTACTAACTGATATGCCCTCGCTGAATTTATAACAGGTTGAGTGTTTCAAGGAGGGCCGTGGATGGCAGGAAAAATCTTCGAGGGCAGTTGGGAAAAGGTGCTTCATGTCAGCTATTACCTTGTCACAACAGAACCAGTCTACAGTAAAGGTTGCTCGGCACAATGATTCATAAATATATATTTTGGCCAACACAGCTCAATGGTATTAAGTAGGAAGTAGCTGTTTTTTGGGTGAAATGCCAGGGCGATGACCCATCATAATTATACAGCATTAAGCTTTTGATTTTTTGGTACAATTACATAGCATTAGGTTGAGTATAGGACTGTCATTATTCATCCTTGATATCCCATTGCATAGATTTGGAGTTCTGATGAGAAATGAAGATGAATGATTTTTCCCCCCAGGAAAAAAAAAAAAAAAGGGTGGGGGGCTGGGGGGAATTGTAAGGTCTGTTTTTGCAATTCCAGCTCAATAGCACTTAGCTCAACATAAGTAAAAGAAAACTTGATCCTGGAGTTTGGTTTTGAACTTTGAAATACCTTCTATTGTGGTGTTAAATTCCTTCCAATAGGGGTTGTGACTGAAAATGAGTAGTCCAAATCAAGCTGGATATAAAGTTATCGGAAAGGATACTCCTTAGAGAAGTACTTTACGATTACTACAAACAGTTTGTTTGCATTTAATCAAAAGTTTGGATGCTAATTGAACAAGGTGTAAATTGTCTCTCACATCTAAATTTAGAGTTAATACAGCAAGTCTTAACTGTTTTAAAGGTAATTCTAAAGTTAAATTTATTAGTAAGCAAGTATTATCTTTTAAGATAAATTTAAAGTTTAAGTTTAGATTTTACCATTGAAAATTAATTTTCTTAATAGAGCATACTAATGGGGGGTTATATCCTTTAAATCATCTAAGAAGATTAATAACTTGGTCTTGAAACACCTAACATCTATAATAATAATAATAATAATAATAAGTATTTTGGACATTATTCTTTTAAATTTTTTTAGAAAACTTGTCTAAAAATTTAGTTTCTAGGTAATATTTTAAAAAACTAATTCATTGAATTAAAAGTTCTATTTATATAAGTTTATACATGTCAATTTTCAAAGAATAATGGTAAGAAAGTCAGAAAAGGGAAACAAATTCACGGAACGAATATAAGGTGGCAGCGTCTCACCTTCTTTCCACTTCTCCTCATGTTTTTGTAATTTTTCTCTTGTTTTTGGTTCATCTAAATCCAAATTGTTTCTTCTAAATCTCCATCCTTTGTCTTCCAAATCTTCCTCCCCTGCAAAGATTAACTGTAAATTTAAATTTTTTACCAATTGGGGTTCAATCTTACCAAACAGTTAAGTTTTAGTTTTTCTTGTTCTTCTTCTTTTTTTTTTTTCTTTTTTTTTTTCTTTTCATTTTTGAAATTTTAAAACCATTGCTATGGGATTTTGCTAGGATAGAGTTGAACCCGGTCCTTGAGTTCAACGAAGTTCAATGGAGGAGGAGCTTGGCAAAAAATGAGGAGATGAGAGAGAAAGATAGGAGATTTTGAAATTAAAAAAAAAAACTAGAAGGGAGGTAGAAGATAAATAGAAAAACATAATTTAAATTTTTTAAAATTAATATATTAACAACATGACTTGTCACATCATTGGTTCCAGAAATTTTGTCCCCCTTTATTCATTTTTTGTATCATTGTTCATTTTCAAATTATACTAGTAGATCTACTTATTTGATTGATCATAACAAATTTAACACAATTTAATATATATTAGTAAATAGGGTTTTATTGATTAAAAAATTATAAA